AACACCTACTTGTTTCCCTACATGAAGTCGTCCTTACGTAGCTCTTCCCTCATTTATTCAGTCACAAACTGTTACTCAGACCTACAGGTTTGTTCAGTTGGCTTGTGTGTTAAGATAGGGTCTCATTTTATAGTACAGATTGTGGAATTCATTTTGTAGCCAGGCTGGTCTCAAACTCGCAGTGATCCTCCTGACTCAGCCTCCTTGAATACTAAGGTTACAGGCATGTGCTACCATGCCTGGTTTCAGTTTCTGGTTTTTTTTAGGGGGAGGGTTTGTTGGTTTGAATTACACAAAGGAAGTCGTAATTTCATTCTTCTTTAAAAATAAGGCAGAAAAGAGTTAGAAGTTGGCAGCATGGTTGTCTCCCCACGCTGGCGGGCCTTCAGCCTCGACCACTGCGGTGGTTGGTGTGTGCTCTCAGACCCGTGAAGGGGCGCTGTGCTTGCCCGCGGGTGCGTCGTCCTCCTTACGCCCTTCGTGTGCCCTGCTGCTCTCGGAGACGCGGCCAGCAGCGCTTCACCCGCTCGGTCACACTTTGTTCATTTGAACGCTTCGTTGCCGTAAGATCCTGCTAGGTTTCTGTCCCTTGCCTCATGGTACTTGCTTTTCTGGTTGTTTTGTTGTTGTTGTTCTGACCTCGTTTTACTTGCAGCGGGCACGATAACCAAGCTGGAGGAAAACTCCAGCCTTCAGCTTGGGCTGGGTGCAGTCAGCTGTCCCTCCGCGTCGGGGACAGGCTTGGGCTCAGGTCCCCCAGCATACTGAAGTTGCCGCTGCCTTCCGTGACGGGAAGCAGCACAGCACTGCCCCACCCCGCGCGCCTCCGTGCCCTGTCACCCGCCTCTGAACCCCTCACGGTGCCCGGTGCAGCGTGAAGCACTGGCTCTGGGTGGGGACGACAGGGACAGAAGCTTGCACGTACTTAGACACACTCCTTTCCCTGAATATGTTCCGTCTGTGCTTGAATCTTCAGATTCTGAGCACACGGATATCCAGGGCCTACTGTTCTTGACTTTCTGTTCAGAGGATATTTAGCTTTAAATTGTCAGAATACTTGCCGTGTCTTGGCAGGATCCTGAAGAAGACCACGAAAGGGTACATCAGATGGTTCTGCTGCGAAAGCTGTGTCTGCCAAGACTGTGTTTCCTGCTTCACACCATACTGCACACCACGGGCCAGTACCAGGAGTGCCTTCAGCTGGCGGACATGGTGTCCTCCGAGCGCCACAGACTCTACCTGGTGAGTCCGTGGCATCTGCGGCTGGAGTTTAGCAAGGGGACACACTGCTCCCAGTTTGTGAAGGCGTGTTCATATTTTAAGTTGGCCTTGGATTCTCCGAAACTAATAGTGCAGTGTTAGTGTATGTGCTCCCCCCAAGTGCGCGTGCATGTACACGCAGGGCCGGCGTACAGACCAACTCTGAGAGGTGGCCCCGAGTCCCTGACCCACTTGAGTGCACCAGCTGCTGGCCATGGAAACCGTGCCAGGGCTTTCTTCTTATGTTAAGCTACTCAGATTGATTAGGTAACAACACCTTCATAGCTTTTTTCCTCACTAATTTTTTTTCTTTTTAAATATCAGGTATTTTCTAAACAAGAACTAAAGAAATTGCTGCAGAAGTTAAGAGAATCCTCTCTCATGCTTCTGGACCAGGGACTGGACCCGTTAGGATATGAAATTCAGTCATAATTCATCCACTGTTTATATGCTCACTAATTCCCATCATAAATGGAGGGGCTTTTCTTAATAAAATACACATATTTGTAATTACTGGGGTTCTTCCTTTTGCATTTTCTGGGGGACAATATAAAATTTAGGCATTTGAATTTTATACTTTTTAGAATATTATGGTGATTCTTCAAAAATTTAATGTATTATATCACTATTTCCTTAAATGTGTTTTAATATAAAATTAAAATTTTCTGTTCTTAGCCAGGCGTGGTGGCGCACGCCTATAATCCCAGCACTTGGGAGGCTGAGGCAGGAGTTCAAGACCAAGAGTTCAAGACAGGAGTTCAAGTTGTTGTGAGTTCAAGACCAGCCTGGGCTACAAAGTGAACTCAAGGCCGGCCTGAACTGCACAGCGAGACCCTGTCTCAAAAAAGACCAAAAAAAAAAAATTTCTGTTCTTAAAAATTCCAGGATTCTCTTTCTGTTATGTAATAAAGAAATTAAATTTCTTGACCTAATTTATTTTTGTTATTTTAAGTACTTTGATAACTTAAAATTATAAGCAGGATAGAAAACAGATTTTTTTTTTTTTTTTTTGGTCTTTTTGAGATGGGGTCTCGCTATCAGTTCAGGCTGGTCTTGAGCTCACTTTGTAGCCTAGGCTGGTCTCAAACTCACAACGATCCTCCTGCCTCAGCCTCCCGAGTGCTGGGATTACAGATGTGTGCCATCACGCCTGGCAACAGATTCATTTTCAAGCCAGGTATTTATCATTTATCATAAAACTTAGTGGTTCTTAAATATTGAAATTAAAAGACTATAGCAAGATGCACAACAAAGGAAACCATCAATAGAGTGAAGAGGTGATCTACAGAAGGGGGGAAAAATTTTTGCCAGATTCTCTTCAAAGGACTAATACCCAGAATGTATAAAGAACGCATAAAAGTGGACTTCCCAGATTTAAATACACAATAAAAAAATTAGCATCCAGCCAGACATGGTGGTGCACATTTGTAATCCGAGCACTTGAGAGGCTGATGCAGGAGGATCACTACAAGATCAAGGCCAGCCTGGGCTACATAATGAGACCGTGTCTCAAATTTTTTTTTAAAAAGTGAACTTCCCTGTATTGAAATTATATGTGAATACATTAAAATAAAACTACAGGCTATAGTTCCACTTGTAAAAAATTCCAGAAACTGTAAACTAATATGTGAAGACAGAAAGCAAACCAGCATTACCCAGGATGAGGGGCAGATTACACATAGGTTTGGGGAGGCTCTTGTGGGTGTGGCCTGTTCACTCTCCTGGCTCTTGCTCCGTTTCATAGGTGTTTGCACGTATCAACACTTAACCAAGCACACGCTTTTCGTAGGTGCACCTTTGTATGTCAGTTATACCTTAATAGAGTTTATTTAAAATAAAAATATTTTCTCAAATAAATAAATGTCATTGTTTTCATTTGGAAACATTTCTAAGGGGCTGGGGATTTAGCTCAGTGGCACCGCGCCTGCCTGGAAAGCGCAGCAAGGTCGTGAGTTTGATTCCTGGTACCAGAAAAAAAACAAAAAAAAATCCTAGTTTACTAACTCAGTAAACTTGTTACCAGGTAAGTTTGAGCAGATGAAGATTGACGATAGTATCTGGCACACAGCACTGATGGTGAGAAATACCGAGTTGGTGGGTTGGAAGACTGAGTGTAATCAAGATGTGTTTTCCCCAAGTAGGTGGGTTTAGCACGGTTTCTATCAGAATGCTACCAAGGGGCTGGGGATTTAGCTCAGCGGCACAGCCGGGGCCGGCCAAGTGCGAGGTCATGAGTTCAATTCCCAGTACTGGAAAACAGAGTGCTACTCTGCTGTAAAGAAGGATAAACTTGAGTCATTTGTAGGACAATGAATGTACCTTTAAGACCGTGAGGTTAAGTAATATAAGTCAGATGCACGAGCGTAACAATGCTACCAAGAAAAAGACTGAGTTGGTGCCACTGAAGCAGTACTAGCTCAAAGCGGTGACACCACCACTCACAAGTGGTGACAGTGTTACAGGCGTGTAGGAAGGTGTCGATAGGGATGGAAAGTTGGGCTGTCTGTGCTTTTCCTTGGAATCCATAGCTGTAGAGTAAAAGTCCACATAGGTAAATATGGCAAGATGGAAGCTAGTGCAGGGCACAGATCTTGAAAGACTGAGTAGAGTCCAGTGCACTGCTGGGACAACTGAATACCCACGTGCAGAATGAACTGCCTCTCATCGTATCCCAGGCACAGTAAGTGACTAGAGACAGGTTGTAGATCCAAATGTGGAAGCTGTAACTCGGCTGGGCATAGTGCTTTAATCCCAGCCATTCAGGAAGCTGAGGCAGGAAGACTGCAAATTCAAGGTTAGTTTGCATTTAGCAATACCATGTCTCAAAAAGGGATGGGAACATAGTTCAGTGGTAGAGCACTTGCCTAGCCTTGGGTTCCGTTTCCTATATATATATATATAGAAAGAGAGAGAGAGAGAGAAGGGGAGAGTCCTAGTAAGTCCATGAAACTGCAGATCGGTGTTACTGGGAAAACGCAAATGAAAACAGTGAGTTACTATGACGCCCCCATCCGAATGCCTGCAGTAACCCAGCTCTGGGAGGCTGAGGCAAGTGGATCACAAGTTTGAGCCCAACCTGGGTGACTCAGTGAGACCCTGCCTCAATAAAAAGGGCTGAGGGCGTAGCTCAGTGCAAAGACCCTAGAGGCTCAGCCCCCGCCAGCGGAACCACTCAGCAGCTTACCGAGTGTCCCCGGGCGCGCCTCCGTTCGTGTGCTGCCTGCCCCAGGCGTCGCTGAGCACGTGTCCTTTCAGCCGCTTGACTCTGGTTTGCACACGATACACTTGCACGTCTTTATTTGTTTTACATCAGCTATTTTTTTACATACCTTTTTATTTAGAACATTGTATTCTTTGGTGTTTATTTCTAGTGAAATCTAGTAAGTTCTGGTTATATTTTACTAATTCATGTTTTATTTGTGAAAAATAACCTATAACTTTGTGCTACAATCGTGAGTACATGAGGTACAGCTTTTACTTCTCCAGAGCTCAGTGAGGCTCTTACAGCACAGAACAGACACACACGGGACCCTGAGACTGAACAGGAAGGAAGCGCCAAAGATCTGCAGAGAAAAACGAAAAGGGAGAGACGTCAGCATATCAGAGAGGAAAAGTCTGTTCTGAGATGGAAGGACGAAGACCTCTCATTGTCGACTGTTCATAATGCAGAGGTGATGGAACTTGAAAGAAATGAAACAAAAAATTCCAGTAGTGCTCAATGATTAGAACAATTTATGGATGGTGTTAACAGAGTTGACCAGCACCTAACAAGCTGTCCTGTAATCAAAAAGTGAGGAAAAAATGTACAGAATACTTAGCACCTTCTGGACCAAACAATATAGAAGTTGTTTGTTATGTATTCAAAACAAAGAGGTTCTTTTTTTTTTTTTTTTTTTTTCTGAGACAGAGTCTTGCTATGCAATTCAGGCTGGCCTTGAGCTCACTTTGTAGCCCACGCTGAACTTGAACTCACAACAATCTTCCTGCATCAGCCTCCCGAGTGCTGGGATTACAGGTGTGCGCCACCACGCCCAGCCTAACAAAAAAGGTTCAAAAGTCGTTCACAATTTAGATGAGCTCTAATGGACCAAATAATTGAAAAACGGGACAGTGAAACACCAGCCAGGATGTCCATTATCGATGTCCTCACCATTATGTTAGTGGGGAGACATTTTATTGAAATTATATCACCTACGGAGAAAAAGGAAAGGCCAGCACAAAAGTGTGAGGTGTGTTATTCACAGAAAGACAATAATGCGGAAAGAATTCAGAAAGATAACAGACACCGCTGTCCAGACTGTAGGGTTGTGTGCTGAATGTTTTCAGATACACAGTGTGCAGAACAAGTATTGAGTAAATTTGATAAAACTGTCATTTTTATATTTCCTGTTATGAAAACTAACAAAAATGCAATTTTTGGTCATCCTGTATTTAAACAATTGGACTGGTACGTGGTCTTAAAAAAAGAATAGCAGGCCAGGAATATAGCTGAGCGGCACAGCACCTGCCTGACAAGTGCAAGGACCTGAGTTGGGTTCTATTCCTGGTACCAAAAAGAAAATAAAAAGACTGACAACGCCAATACTTGACAAGAGTGTGGAGCGGACGATGTTATTGCCGGGAGGAAGGTAAAAAGGTACTATCTTTGGGGAGATTTCTGAATTTACCTACAGATTTCACCCTAATACTGTATTAACCCAAGAGAAATGAAAATTAATTCCACAGAAACCTGTACAAAAACGTTCACAGCAACGCGTACCACATGTGAGGCCCTGAGTTTCATCCCAGCACCGCGTGCACACAGTCCCTGACAGCTTCCTGTATAACAATCCCCAAGCGGAAGCGACCTGTCGTCGTTTGGGGTTTTGCAAGGGGAACAGTTTACTACAGGACACATATTTTTATAAGCTTATTTATAATAGTCACCCAAACAATCATATACAAAAAGGGAGTGCAGGAAATCTGTCCACACATTAAAGACCAAAGAGTCCAGCTGAGGGCCTGGATCCCACGATAAATGTCCTGCATGAGTTCAGCTGCAGACCTAGAGCCCACAACAATGCCTCACGCAGGCCTGTGTCTCGGATCTGCACTGGGAAGGCCCCAAGGTCAGTGGTGGAAGCTAGACAGTCTGCACCAGTGGGAGGAAATATCTGCCAGCGGGCTGAGGGGTCTGCACCGGAGCCAGGAAGCGATGTTCAAAGTAAGAACCAGAGCTCCCCCAAAATGTACCACAGCCCTCCTCAGCAACAGTGAGGTCCCGAGCTCCCCCAATGAGGAGGAAAGCCGAGTTCCCATCAGGAAAGCCAACGCAGCAAGCTTCTCCAGGAGACCAGGACTGCACCATCTTTGCCTCTGGAGCCAGGAAGCGATGCTCCAAGTGAGGACCAGAGCTCCCCCGAAGTGAACTGAAGCCGTTCCCACTGACCATGAGGTCCCAGTGAGAACACCAAATTCATCAGGAAAGCCAGCATGACAAGATCCTCCAAGAGAAGGAAAGAAATGAATACAGGAAAGGAAAACCAGGAAGCAGCCCCAGGAACACTAACAGCTCCCAACACCTTGAACAGCCTCCACCAGCTCCCTGCAGCCTCGGCCAGGCTCCCGACAGCCTCTCTTCTCAGCTCTGCCTCTTGGGCTGCCGGAGCAGTCCCCAGGCGGCCTCCCACCCCCAGCACCAGGCTGGCTCACTTCTGCTGGGCATTACAAGCTGACCACCAGTTGTCAAGCTCCCACAGAACCTAACTGAACATTCACCAGTAAGAGAATATCTTAGCAAATTGGGCTATATTCATACAAGAGAATATTACTCGGCAATCTTAAAAGGAAAAACTACTGATATAGTCAACAAAAGAATACACTATAGATAATTTTATCCTTTTTGTGGTGCTGGGGTGCTAACCTAGGGCCTTGTGCATACTAAGCACATGCTCTACTCCTGAGCTACACGCCCAGCCCTGATATCTTTACTTTTTAACTCAAATTTCAGAGTTCATATTTTCATTACAGGTGCTCCTTGACTTATGACAGGGTTACCAATTGTATATTCATACGAAACAACAGTACTCTGCAGTCTTAAAAGGAAATAACCAATATATTCAAGAAAAGAATACACTAGATATTTTTATCCTTTTTTGTCCTTTCCTTCTTGGGTGCTGGGGCTCTACCATAGAGCCTCATGCATGCATACTGGCAGGAGTTCTACCACTGAGATACAGCCAGCCCTAACATTCTGATCCTTTAATCCAAGTTTCAGAGTTCGTGCTTTAACCCCAGATGCTCCTTGACTTAAAATGGGTCTATGTCTCAGTCAACCCATTAGAAACTTAAAATACTGTAAGTTGAAAATGCTCCTTGATTTAACGAAGTCATCACAGCCGATAAATCTATTCTCAGTTGAAATATCCAAAGCTGAGTCACACTGACACACCCAGTCAACCAGGTATCACAGCTTAGCAACCAGTGGCTCACCTTGACATCTGCAGCTCGCTGCCACTGCCCAGCTCGAGGGACGCACGGTAGTTCATCCAGCCGCAAACCGCGTGGAGGATGCAGCGCAGAGGAGAAGGGCTCACAGTACCGTGAGAACGGGCGACGTCTGACGACCTGGCAGGAGGAACAGCGCACAGTTGAGTGTATGAGGAAGACCCTGGGAGAACCAGCCTGCAGACACTGCCCAAGTAACGCTCCCCAGTCTCCCGCTAGCTTAGGAACTGTTTCCTGGGAGAAGGTTTTGAGCATCCCTCCTGCCCCAAGTGTAGGGTAGGCTGTGTTAGTGTACGCTCGTAGGACCGGTCTTCTCTCACTAAGCTCTATGAAGTGGGCTGGTCTGGCTTTACCTGCCATTATTCCTAAGTGCCAAATACAGTGTCTGGCCAAAGGCGGGTACTCAGGAAATGTCTGAGTAACTCCTAATGAGAAAATTGAAACTATCAATCAGACTCCTTAAAACCTAAGGTCAAGGACAATATTCCATTGTTTTGAGGTCTGTGGTCAAAGTTATTCTAAGCTACTCTTACTTAAATAAAAATACATGAACTATGAGGCTGAGTTGGACCCCCATAACCAGAAAATAATAATATAATAATGACCTGGCACAAAGTGGTCGAAGTTATCTTTAAAAAAGACCAAAATCAGTAGAAGTAATCTTTCAAAAGCCTAATAAAATCCATAAGCCAGGGGCTGGGGATTTAGCTCAGCGGCAAAAGCGCCTGCCTGGCATGCGCAAGGCCATGAGTTCGGTTCCCAGTACCTGAGGAAAAAAAAAAAATCCATAAGCCATTGGAAGGGCTAGCCAAGGGACAAAGAAAACCCACCTGGCATTGTACTGTGTGCCTATAATCCCAGCTCACGGGCCGAGGCAGGAGGCTCGCAAGTTCACAGCTAGCCTAGGCAATCACGTGACAGCCTGGCTCAAAATAAATGAATAAATAAGTAAAACGGTTGGGAGCCAGGTACAGTGGTCCATGCCTGGATGAAGCAAGAGTATCACAAATTCAAGACCAGAAGACCAGCCTAGGACTACAGGAAGAGCCCCTAAAAAAAAAGAGAGAGAGAGAAAGGCACTGAGAATTCGGCTCAGGAGAGCACTTGCCTAGGATGTTTTTAATGTCAGCGCTGAAAAGAAAAAGCAATGTTCAGAATACAGTGATATGGCACCAGGGATGTAAGTCAGTGGCTGTCTTGGGTACTTTTCTGTCATTGCTGAGACAACATTCCTGACACCCAAAATTCAGGAAGGAAAGGTTTAGTTAGCTCACAGTTTGTGGAGGTTTCAGTCCATACTCAGCTGGCTCCAAGGCAGGGTGGCACATGGCAGAGGACAACAGTTCATGGCGGCAAAACACAGCAAAGGCAACAAGAGCAAAATGGGAGGAGTGGCAGCAAGCAGCCTCTTTCCCCCCCTTACACTGTATGCAAACTGCCTGCCCCAGGGCAGGTGCAGCACTCACACCCATAAAGACCAGCATTGGACCATGGATCAATCACAAACTCTATAAATCCACACCCATGAGGCTCTGGGGGGACATCTAGACATAAACCATAATAGTGGCACAGGGCCTATCTGGTAAGTGCCAGGTCCTGAGTTCGATTCCCAGTACTAAAAGAAAAAGAATACAGTGATATAGCCCAGGCATGGTAGCACACGCCTATAAACCCAGCACTCGGGAGGCTGAGGCAGTAGGATAGCTGTGAATTCAAGGCCAGCCTGAACTACACAGTGAAAAAAATCCTGTCTCAAAAAGACAAAAAGAGAGAGAGAGAATACAGTGATCCAACAACAGGTGAAATAGTATATAGAATACTATATACTACTTGAGCCAAGTACTTAAGTAAAAGGGGTAATTTTCTAGGAAAATGAAATGCCAAGCACTGATTCAGAATGAAGAACTGTTTCTATCCACGGCTGGAGACCCACCGCACTGTGTGCCGGGGATGTAGCTCACAGGCAGAGCCCTTGCCTATCCCGCACAAGGCTGCGGGTTCCAGTACTACAAAAGTGAACTGAAAACCTTCTGCGCTCCCAACGCACAGAAGTTCTTCCCTGCTACCGTGTGACGCGGCCAGCAGACAGACTCCAGGCTTTGTGCACGAGGTCTGTGCTCGCAGAAACCCAAGGGGTGGCGGGAGCAGACAGGTGCCGGGGAAACGGACACAGGCACCGCACAGCGCACGCTTAAAGCAGGCTGTCGGCTTAAAGACCGCGCCCCATCAGCGCCTCTCACTGGGCGTTTGGGAGGACCGACAGCACTGACGGACAGGGTCGAGTCACCGCAGGCACCTTCGGCGAGCGTGCCCGTCCCACAGCCCTCTCCGTTTAACTGTGTGTATGAGATGTAGGACATACGGGCTTTCAATAAGCTTTGGGTGGGGAAAAGCTTACTGAGGGTGAGGCCGGGAGATGTAACTGCACTTGCTGTAGCCTAGGGCTCGAGGGCGTTCTTGGGTCCGTGTAGTTTTGTTTTCTACTTCTCCCAGGACAATGGAAGAAGACCGGCCTTGGGTGCTGTCCACACTCAAATGGGTAGAGGGCAGTGGTCCTCCCGACGGACACGTCACAGAACCAGTTGTTGAAGCCTGTAAAAGGGGACTCAGTTCCCTGGGAAGGTAGGAGGCGTTTCTCCAGCTGCAGGGAGAAGGAAAACACGGCATGTCGCACAGCGGAGCACTTGCTGCTACTGGAGACCCTGTAGTGGGCCCCAGTCTCCAGCCTGGTTACGCGCACGGCGGCCGGGGAAAGAGCGAGCTAGAGACGAAAACGAAGGGGTGCACAGGAGGGATGGGGCGACCAGCTGCTCTCTAGGAGCAAAAGCCCACGAGGCCCCAGACTCTCGGCATCTACTCCTCACATCTGAGTCAAGGACAGTGCGGGAGGGGCAGTGGGCGTCTCTGGGAGCAGCAAAGGCGACCAGGTGGGCTGGGAAGATCAAAGCACTCTCGCAAGGACAAGGACAAGGACAGGAGCGGGGGAGTAAGGAACCTTTAGCGGTCTCGTCTTACCTGGCAAGGCCGCAGCAGCCGTTAGCCCTGGGCTTCCAGCTGCCACGAGACGAGCAGGGAGTTTGCATTCCAATCTGGCCCAAAAGGGCAGGACAAGGACAAGCT